TATCGAACATTAAGGTTTTTTTTTGCTTCTATTGTGATTTAATTTCAGTTCCCTCTGAAGAAAAAAAAAAATAGCTTCGGTGGTTGGAAGCCAGGATTTTGAGCCTAAGGGAATAAGTAAACAGCAAGCCCCTGTGTTAGCAGCTTTCAGAGAACAAGGAGAAATTAAGATCAAGTTACAGCTGGAAATCAGAGCACACAGGTACTAGGCTGGAATATGGTCTGACTGGGGAGTCAGGATTTTGGAAGGTGAGCCAAGAGGGAATGGCAAGAGGGAGGTGACAGCCATGGAACCACACAGGGGTGGGATTGGTGGGGAGGAAGGAGTGGGCATAAGGAGAGGCAGGACCATCTCTTCCAGCTTGTCTGGGACTTCAAGCAAACAGATGAGTATCTGTGTGTGGTACACGTACATTCACTGCTCCATAGTCCTCCCTCTCTCATGAAGTCCTCCTCCCCTTCCACGGGAATCTACTGGAATACCCATGTTTACTTCAGCCATACAGGAAATGCATTCTCAACAACCCTGGTACATCTCAGGCCTAGGACAGGGCTCAGATAACTGTTGTCCAAGGTTATTTCTGACATAGTGCTGGGCCCTTACTCAGAATTGCTCAGGTACCTGCAAGAGGCAGGCTACCACAAGCAGTTAGGAGTGTGGCCCCTGGAGTCCCTTTGCTGGAGTGTGAATTCCAACCCTGTATCATCCTGGTCAAGTGACGAAGGATCTTTAAGTTCAGTTTCCCTGAAATGAAAATGGGACGAGCGCCATAGCCACCTACTCCTGGAATTTTGTGAGGGTCAGGTGAGACAGTTCCTGTCAAACTGACGATGGGAACTGGCTTAGGATGACTTCTACATCTGTGGGTCAGTGTCTTCTGACTGGACAGTTCTAGGGCTCCCAAACAAGCCAGACAGCTTGTCATGTATCCACATCCCCAATATCAGCTCAGATAATTGGGCCTTAAGTTTTTAAAAAAGCATTTTATGTGGAAGTCTTCCTGGCCTAGAGCTGCTCTTTGGAGATTTCGTTAGTTTCTTTATCATCTAAATTCTCAGTCCCCAGATCTTTCAGCTAAGTAGCTCTCCCTCTTCCTACTCTCCCATTCAAGCAAACACACTCCTGGTTCCTTTTTCTATTCTTGATCCAGTGGTCAGTATGATAGTGAAATCAGAGTTTAGGATGAAACTTTTCTCTGCTTCTCCTGGCAGATGGGGTCTGCACAAGCTGTAGGCCTCTGCAACGAGAAGCCCATTTCAGTGTTAGCAGCTAATTACACTGAGATCACAAAGGTTGCAACTGACCCCAGCAGCTCATTGCCAATTTTTTTCCAGGTTTTTGTCTTGCAAATCCTAAGAATGAAATTCACGAACAATGGGACGCAAGAGTGAGAGGTGTAGGATTTTTTCAAGTGTAGAGAACAGAAACAGAACTCTTGCAGGGAAAGAGAGGACCTGATAGCTCTTTGCTGCTTGAGTGTGCTAGTGTAGGGGTTTAGACAGCGCTTGGGTCAATGCTATTGGGTCCAAATTTATGCTAATAAGGTTTTGCAAAATATCAATGCTATTGGTTAACTCATGAATCTGAATTTTCCTCTATGCAGGTCTGGACACACTTGCATTTTCTTGCCCCTAGTAGGGCCAGGCCAGGCCACCATGGGATGTCACGTTGTCAGACCCTGACTTGCCTCAGGCCTGTGGTAGCATGGTGGGCTCTACAGGGTTATGGCCTGTGCTCACCCTGTGTTCCAGCCCACCTGGGCACCTCCACTCCACAACTGCCTCTTGGTGGGGACCAGTGGGCCAGCCAACTGCTCACTGGCTGGGGAACCCGCTGACTGGGACAAGGCCTTGGATTCCATAGTACCTTGATAGTCCCAACTGTGTGACTTCTGCTTTGTGGGGATCAACAGGTTAGGATGAGACTGTGTTTACAGGCAACGTGGTGGTACCCTGTCTACAATGCCTGCCCTTTTGGGATTCTCTTGAAACTTCAAAGTTTCATTGAGTCTAGGAATTTTTTTTTCAACTTCAGATAAGAAATTCTGAAAGAGAGGCTATATGATGAATACTCTTTAAATTTTGAAACATGCTCATTTGCCTTTCCCTACTTTTTATTTATATAGTGATTTGTGCTGAGAGACATTTCTTTGGTTGTTAGAGCACTCTCCTTTATTTTATGCTTGCAGAGAAGTTACATCATCAAAAACGAGGGAGGGTTGCTATGTAAGAGGATTCAGAGTGAGGCTGGGGCCAGGATCTCTGTATCATCTGGGTCTTTGAAGCTGTTCTCCAAAGTGTGGTCAAGAAAGAGCAAAAGGATTACTTAACATGGCCTTTGTCATCTCTGGGGAATATGGAAAGATGAACACTAATTCTAAAAAGAGTTCTGAGTTGCTTCAGTAAAATAAACACGAAGGATTAAAAAACAGGAGAAAAGAATTAGGAGATGGGACAGAACAGATTCATGGAACACAGATCACTATCCAGCACAGATAAGAAATTTCTTCAACTTTAACAATTACCCAATCCCCATCCAGAGATGGTTACATTTGTTAGGCAACTTGGTGAGCCAAGTATAGTGATGAGCACTGTGTGATATTGTTCTACTGTCCGTCATACAAGTTGGATAGTATGGCTGTGAGGACTTGCCTCAGACACAAGAGAAAGTTGAGGCTCAGAGAGGTTAAGGAGGCCAGCCATGGTGGAACCAAGATTCAGATCTAGGATCACTTCCAAAGCCAGTAAACTCCTGTTCCCTTCTCAGTCATCACACTTTTTTAGGATTGAATATTTTAATCATAATACCATATCAACAGTGATTGTGAAAACAGAACCTGGTTTTCCTTCTTCTTTTAAAATTATACTACTTCCTATTTGCTGATGGTTTTATATTCCCCAGTCTTATTGTTTTTGCAGTTTTTGTTCATTTATTCCTTTGTTCATTCATTTACTCGTTTCTCCCTCACCCACAGAGGAAGAACGACTATAGTCACGTTCTTGAAGAATTTAAATGGAATAGGTTCAAAGTTTGCTGTAGTGAAGTTTGTACAAAGTGTCGATTCATGCATTTTTTACCAGAAAATAAGAGCAAAAAGAAATAAGGGAGGAGAAAATTCAGTTTAGAGACAAAAGGAAAGGAAGCCAGTTTACAAGTATAAGAGGCTGTTAAATAAAATGTGAGTCCATGGTGGTCAGCAGACGACACCCATGTCATTGGTACACTGCACTGTGAATTCCTTCGAAGAACAGGAAAACATCTCAGTGTATAAGGTAGAGACCACTTTACTTTCTGTTTCTGATAACAAGGAAGTTGGAGTCTATTCCATGTCCCCAAAGATCTTTTGTGAAAGCCCTAATACTGCTCCTGAGGTTTTTCTGGGAGAGGGCAGAACTAGGTTATCGCATTGCCTGACTGAGAACTATGATAACTGTCTACAAATATTTAAAGGGTGTAAATGAAGGCTTAATTGCTTTAAAACATCTTAGAATCCACTTAGTTTACTAAAGACGCAATACAGTCTGGTGAGATATTTCAGAGCCTCAGATCCCCAGAAACTTTTATTTGAAGGTTGGGGGATAGAAGCCAGCTCATAAATGGGATTGAGCCCTAATGGAGACAGCCTTTGGGGACTCTGTCAGCAAGGAAGATGCAAAGCTGTGGAAGAGGCTGGTATAATTATGGCCTCTCCACAAATCCTCACCAGGCAGGACAGTCATTAGCACTCCTGTGACAAGACAAAGTGCCTCTACTTTTAGGCACACAGAGAAAGAGACTCAAGCTCAAGGGAGTGGGGTGGATATCCAGCGGGTGGACCAGCGACCTCATTCCATTTTGTTTCACTTCCTTCCTGACTCTGGCTGCCCCCCCTTCCTGGGGGTCTCTGTTGTTGAGAACTCCCCTGGAAAATGGGGTAGGGACCAGGTAGAAGTTCTCAGCGTAGTGACGTTGTGTCCCTTCTTGGCAACTCTAGTGAAAGGCTTTCTAGATGAATTTGGAATTCTTCAGGATGATGAAGTTGTTGAGGTTCAAGTTTCTTGGAAAAGCTTGTGGAAGTCACTTATCCAGAGGAAGGTCCCTAGTTAATGTGGATAATTGGATTTTGAAGATATATACACTAGTTTGGGGGCAGGGAATGTTGTTGCAGGAAAAAAAAAAAGGAAATACATGGAGAATTGTGTCAAAATTACTATCCAAGGTAAAGGCTAATTGTAGGGAGCTTAGTTTTTTAATGACCTGTAAGTGCCCTCAGAGACACCATATTCAAAGAAAAACAAAACAAATCTTCTGCAGCAGAAGGCATGGGCATGAGAACTTTCTTTCCGTCTTATCAAAGAGGTGCCTGATGAATTCTTTGCAAATTCCAGAAGGCTAAGTCCTAAACCAAGAAGCAAAATATGTTGGTGTCCAAATGTTACAATTGACCTTAAAAGGGGACATACGATTATTTAACATTTCTATAGGACTATATATTTGCCCAAAGATTTATAATCACTTGTTCCTTAATCTTCATAGCATCCCTCTAAGGCAGAATTTCCCATATAGGAACTGTGAGATCTCAAGGATGGTGGAGGAATTCCAAGAGGGTCACGGGGATTGGAGCTGTAGTATTTCAAGGAGCTGTCTGGTGGCCATTACAAAGTGCGGGCTGGAGGAGGGATGTATAGGTTCCAGGCACCCAGCATTCCCTGGGCAAGCTGCCCTCAGAGACCTGAAGCCCTTGTCAGAACCAGGCCTGCTTCCCTACAGGAATCCTGAATTGTTCCCATTCTCCTGTGCTTGCAAGTAGTGCCAGCTCAAGTTGAAGTTTCTGGGGAATGTGGCATAGTAGAGACTTTGGGGACCTGTGTTTGAATCTGAACTTTAGTCTTTGATTGCATTCTGGTAAATGCCTAATCCTCTCTGAGCCTTAAGTACTATATCTGAAAAATGTTGCAGAGTCACTCATGTAAGGCAGAGTTGTTATTAAGAGTGAATAAGATGTCACTCACCTAGCACATTGTAAGCATGTGATGATGGCTAGTTATATATTCCCACTGTCTCTCCAGGAACTTCTTTGATGTGTCAGAAAATAAGTTCGAACAGCTTTTCATTTGAAGAGCTTTCCTCGGAATGTCTCTGATGAAAATAAATAGAAGACACATATGTACATAATAATAAAAGTAAATATGTAACATCACAAATACTTCAACATATAGCCCATGGACACCAGAAAGCTTAATTAATCTTGCACAGTTCTTGAGTCACACTCTGGTTTATTCTTCTGATTGCCTTGTTGAGACAGGTCACAGGAAATTCTATCTGGACTATGACCCTGCTTTTATTCCCAAGGACCCCAGTTTTAGTAGAGATGGGGATGGTTTGTCTCATCTTTTCATACTCAGAATATGATAAGGCCCCCCCCACACACACAAAAAAAAAACTAATACAGAGACTCTTTGTCTCAAATAGAAAATGTATACCTTCAAGTGTGTTGATGGCCATCAAGACTTTCCCTTCACAAAATTTATCCCATTCTGGAAGTTTCTTCATGCTTTTTGCAGATAACTGATCCAGAAAGACTGTGCCTTACTTCAAGAAAACAAACACACTACCTGTATATGAAAAAAAAGGTTGAAGGAAACAAGATAAAAGAAACAAGTCAGAGCTGGAAAAAGTTCACTAGAAAAATATTCCCATGAAATATGAAATTTGTGACCCTACACACGATCATGAATTTAAAAAGAAAAAGGCAACTCAATAAATTGATCATTTTGGGGGGGAAAAAAGGAGCTCAATTCAAAACAAACAAAAAGAATCACCGAAAAACAGATACATAATAGTTCAGGAAATACATAGCAAGACGATAGGAGAGATATTCAGGGCAAAATAAATAAATAAATAAATAAATAAACCTGGCAGAATTTAGCAAGGATGGTAACCTGGAAATCAAGATCACAATAGAGCAGTGCGAAGAGACAGATTGTGCTGAGATCAAGTCAAGTAGCCACAGGATGGGATTGAGGGAAATGAGGGAAATTACATGAAGATGAATGAAGTTTTATAAAAGATTAGTAGGCCAACAATAAGTAAAACATACCTGAAAAAAATTGAAAATGTCATGACTGCACATATGATGCGATGCTACATCATGTACAATCAGAGAAATGAAAAGTTGGGCTGCAATTATGTGTAATGAGCCAAAATGCATTCTGCTGTCCTATATACCTAATTAAAATAGATAAATATTGTTTAAAAAAATTTGAAAATGTGAGTAGGAATACTACTTTAATAAATAAAAACTTAATTAAAAATAAATAAATAAAAACTTTAAAACTGTCCATACGTTAACGACAGGACTACTGAGATTGAAAGGGGCTACTCTGTTGCAGGAAAAATTAATACAGAAGGGTAAATATTAAGACCTATCCTAGAAAAGTCATTGAACTTTAAAGATATTTAAAAATATTTTTGACTCTGGTAGCAAGATCAAATTACCTTGGGGGAAAAATAGACTGATATTAAGTTTTGTCACAGCAGTACTCTTAGTAGGTAAAAAAGATTTGAATAATGTCTGTGGTACATAACCAAATAATTTTATACTCAGTCAAACTACTGTCAAGTCAAAAATCAGAAAACAAAAAGTTTGAATACACAGAAGCAGAAAATTTTAAGTCTCTTATGTAAGATATTGGTTCCCTGTTCATTGTGTGTTTTAGTACAAATAGGCACAAAATTATATATATATATATATATATAAAATTCTGTATACTGAAAACAGAGAATATACTTGGCCAAGGATCCTTGCAATAATCACAAAAGTTGACCATATTGAAGGCCACAAAGAAAATGTCACTAAAAATTCTCAATATTAGAATAAGTACAGACATGCTTCTCTGATCACAAGTAATCCATTTGGAAATGGATAATAAAACTAGAAAAAATAATTCTGCCATAAAGAACTGTTAAAATACACTTTCTTGTGCAAGTCTCTTGTAAGGAACAGATTTGAATAATATCTTTAAAATGAAAATAATTAAGCTACTATATACCAGAACCTATGGGATAGAGTTAAAGCAGAATTCTGGGAAAAACTTTTAAAGGTTTAATATTTATATTAAGATAGGAAGTAAAGCATCTCATTGTAAGTAAGAATTTAACAAAAAATATAAATTATGTAGAAAATAACTTTAAAATGCTAATGAGAAAAATTGGGGTAAAATGAAAGGGCATACACCATTTTCTTAATAGGAAGACTTAAAGAAAAAATGTAACTCTCCCTAAACAAAACTATTAATGGAATGTGAAGCCAATAAAAATACAGAATTTTTAAAGCTCCATAAGATATTACTAAAACTTATAAGAAAAACCAACAGACATTCCATTTATATTAGTAGTAGGCTGTGTTATTGAGATTAACCCTTCCATTGATAACAATGATAATATATGTAAAAATATTAAACAGAATTCTTCTTAAAGGCATCGAAAAGCTGCCAAGGTAACAAGGAGTTACCAAGGGACTAGCTTTTCCCTGAATAAATTTCTGATCAGGTTCTGATGAGTTGGCTATAGTTTTAATAGACTCAGGATGAAGAAGACAAAAGTCAAAGTCCAGAACTCACAGAAGGTGGAAAGCGGGTTCTCATAGGAGACTCTCCTCCCCTTCTCTTCTCAAGAGACTCTCACTCCTCATTAAACTGGAACTCCTGGAAGGACCTCTTCAAACAACCTTGCTCTCAACCTTGCTCCCTTCTCCCTCCCAGAGACCACAGGGAGAGTTACCTTGACACTACACTAAGCAAGGAGACTAACCTGACCGGATTTCAAGTACAGTATGAAGTGATAATCAATTAAGAATTCATAATATTGGCATATGGATAAATAGACCTACTTAAGAGAGTAAGAAGTCCAGAAATACATCAATGATACATAGGAATTTAGGATAGGACCAAAGTTGGCAGCTCAAATCATTAGGAAAAAGCTTATTCAAGAAATGACATTGAAATGTAGAACCCTCTGAAAAAAATTATGTACTTAGAGTCCAGCCTCACACAAATTCCAGTTAAATTCTCGACAGACCTAAAATGTAGAAGGGGGGTGGGGGATTCAGTATTTTAACAAAAACTCAACGCAGTATAGGCTTTGCTATGTATAACAACAAGAACAACAACAACAAAAAACCCGAGAAACCATAAAAAAATACACTGATAACTCCTACCACAAAATTGTTTGTGTCTCATACAATAATATCATAAATGAATGAAAATAATGAACTGGGAAATCATGTGCAGCTTATTATCATTGACTAAAGATAAATCTTCCTTAATGTGTAAAGAATGTATACAAATTAGTGTGCAAATAATAATTAAATATAAAATGGACAAAAGTTCTAAAGCATTTCATCAAAGCTGTAAAAAAAAAAACAAACTTGCTTTAAATATATAAAAAGATGTTCAGCTCCATTCAGAGAAAAGGAAATGCAAATTTAAACTAAAACGTAATGCCACCCTTCACCTGTGAGACTGGTGAGATGGAAATGTCTGGCAGGACATTGTGTGGACCTGTGTAAGGAGACAGGTTTTCTCATACATCACTGGTGAGACTACATGTTGGTATTATCCTCTTGGATCAGAGTTTAAATCATGTGCTCTTTGACACAGCAATTTCCCTTCTAGGAATTTGTCTTACAGATATATTTTTTAAATATGTGAAATGAAATATGCAAGAATATTCATTCTCAGTGGTTCTGGTAGTGCTTGGAGGCTGAGGCAGGAGGATCATGAGTTCAAAGCCAGCCTCAGCAACTTAGGCACTTAGCAACTCAGCAAGACCCTGTCTCTAATTAAAATATGAAAAAGGGCTGGGGATGTGACTCAGTGGTTAAGCACCTCTGAGTTCAATTCCTGGTACCAAATATATATATATATATATCCATTTACAGTATAGTATAGGCTGAAACCTGGAAGTGACCTAACTCTGCCTTTAGGAGTCTCCTCCTGCCAAGTGTTTGTTTTTCATTTTTCTATCTTCCCACCTCATGCCTGCATCACAAACACACTTACACCACCCCTGAGGTTCCCAAACAGCTCCAGGTTTTCAAGTTCCTAGGAAAGTAGGAGAGTAGGGAGGAGCTGTCAGAGACAGAACTGCCTACCCTCCTGAGCCATCCAACTGATAATGGAAAGGCAGAGAAAGTACCAAAGACACTGGAAATAAAACGTACAACGAAAACCCCACCAGTTGGTAGTCCTGCCCAATATTCAACAACCCTCTCCCTGTCTTCCTGAAAAACTCGCTGCAAAGTGTTTTCCTCTTCCAGACACACATACCCATAGGTCCTCTTCTACTCCTGCTGCACCCCCTTGGTTCTGCTCAAACTGCCTACAAGACACAGGCTTCCATCTGCCAATCACCTCCTTGCAGTCCTGCTGCAGCCTGCCTGGCTCTCTCCTCAGTGAGAGCAGCTGCAGGCTCAGGCCCTTTCTTCCCCATTGCTGGAGATGGCTTCCAGAGACCTCCAGGGCTCTGATGTCCCCTCCACCACCACCACCACCCTATTTATTTTGATATGGGCTATTAAACCCAGGGGCGCTTAACCATTAAGCCACATCCCCACACTTTTAAAAATATTTTATGTAGAGACAGGGTCTTGCTGAGTTGCTTAGGGCCTCACTAAGCTGACGAGGCTGGCTTTGAACTCATGATCCTCCTGCCTCAGCCTCGCCAGCCGCTAGGATTACAGGTATATGGCCATGTGGCACCCAGCTCTGATGCCCCTCTCTTCCACCCAGCTGTCTCTCCTGCTACCCTCATCTGCTCCTGTGGCTTCACTGGTCATTTTAATGCTTCCAGAATGTAAATCCAAACCATCCATTCCCTGTGGATTTTGCCTCAATTAAAAAATAATTGTTTTTCACCCCCATCTCCAGAGCCCATTGCTGCTGCCCCTTCACGTGAGGTGTCCTTATGCTCTGGAACCTCCTTCCCTGCAGGGGAAACCATGTCAGTGGCTTCCCACCCTCTGCTCCCAGTGCCTCCTCAATGGGGCAATATTGTCCTTGGAGAGGGGGACGCTGGGGAATGGGTCCTTGCGAGGGAAGTGGGGACAAGAAATCCCACTCTTTTGGCGTACAAAGCCCGGATCTACATGCAGGATGTGGACAGTCCATTTCATGGGGGCAGGGCAATTAGGAAAAGAGGTATCAAAAAAGGCTTCTTGAGGGAAGATAATAAAACCTAAGAAACACTGATCTAGAATTTTCCACTGGGATGAGGAGACTCACCAAAGCTTTGAACAAAATCAAAAGAGCTCCCCTGCCCCATTGTGCTCCCTATCCCCCAACCCAGCCTCCCAAGTTCTTGTCACAGCCAATGCGCAGTTCCCTAGCGGCCACGCTAAATCCTCAGCCTTACTGGCGCAGGCACACTCTTCACTTCCCTCTGCCCATCTCGAGTCACGTCCATTCCCTCTCCCCTGGCACTGTGCAGCCGCTCAGCCTGAGCTGTGGGGTCTTGCTGTGTCTCGCCTGCACCCCTGCAGCAGGCTTCGAGCTCCATTTCACACTCCTCTCATCTAGCTCCCACTCTGCTGCTGCAGAGAACTTGCTAAAATGCAAACGGATGATGTAACTTTCATGTTTTTCAAGTTCTATTCCTGTTTGCTTAAAATATAAGTTCTCTAGAACAAAATACAAATCTTCCACTGTTTTTTTTTTTTTCCAGATTAGTTTCCTGCATTCCTCTTCAATGCTGTTCTATTCCAACACAGGAACTCTATGCTTTCCCTGAAATTCATTCTATACTTTCATACATCTCTTGTCTTTTTTGGCACCAAACCTTTTTCTCAAAATTCCTTTTTCTAACTCTTTTCACCCCAACTCCTATCCTCATTTCAAGGTTCAGATGTCACCCTTCTCCCCTCACGTGATTCCTGGCACGATCACTTGTTGCTTTCTTTGTGCCTCTATGGCACAAGGGACAGTGAATGTACCCATCCTCCTGGTTTTCAGTCGCCTTCTTCTAGTCTGGATTTGAAGGGCAAGGATACTTACCAAATCCACACAGGCTCTGAGAGAAATATTTATTTGCAAGGCATCCTGCTGGTTGTTGAAGCCTCCATTGTGAAGGAACAAGGTTTGCCTTGGTGAAGTATAAAACCTGGTAGAGAAGACAATAATTGTTTAAAAATTGTTGTGATAAGTGCTATAAAGGGAAAGTACAGGATGCTGAACAGGAATGGAGAAATCCACCTGCACCAGAGGGATGGAGACAGCTCCCCCAGAGAAAAGAGCTTCAGACAAAGACCAGAGCGAGTCAGCCAGGTGAAGGACAAGAAATATATTTCAGGTGGAGAGAGTGGCATGTAAGGATGTTCGGTGATAAGAGACTCAGATAGGGACTAGAATAACAAAAGTAATCAATGTACAAACAAGACAGTGGGCCTGGAGGCAAGAGGAGATGGGGTGAGGTGATACCACTGAACAAATATGTGAGAAGTCACCCGCTTCACCTGAAGGGGAATCTTCATATTGCTACTGTGCATATTCCCTGGGTCTCATGGACCGACCACTGACCTGGGTGTGTTCACGTGGCAATGCTTTTGCCCTTCTGCTCTTATCACCTGAAATAGAGATTCAGAAGTATTTTTCCCCATAACCAAAGGTGGGGGATGGGGGAACCAGAAATTTCAGTAGAAATAGATGATTCATTCCCAACACCTTCCAGAAATATTCCAGTTTCACTCTGAGTTCTATTTCAAGCCTAACATCTCATACAAATGACTAACAGCCACGTAAGTTATGGTGTTTCAGGACATGACCTTAATGCCTAGTGCCTGGGGAGCATGGTCCCAAATTGAAGAAAGACTTTCATTGTGCCTGAAACTTTGGGATCCAGTTGCATGACATGAACATGGCGTGAAGGGGAAAGGTGGACTCAGTTTTATGAATGGATAACTCAACTGGCTTGTGGACCACTTGGCCCCAGCTTCCCTGTCATGCTGTGTAGTGTGGGGCGGGGGACACAGACAGGCCTCTTCTCTCAGTAGAGTCCCTTGGGTGTTGAAGATAGAGATGGAATGGAGACTGGATTTGTTAAATCAGGAAGCCACACGTACCTGATGCCATCCGCAGGCATGAATCATGGAGGGAGGGACATAGATGGTTGCGGAAAGAGAGCAGAGACCTAAAAATAACAGTTCCACTGAAGGGTGGAGCTGGAGGTTGGTGTTGGGTCACACTTGGCTGCCGTTTCTGCAGATTCCCCGGTGAAAGCTGCAAGTGGAATGAGGCAGCAGGTACCTGGCCCTCAGCAAAGAGACAGCAGGTGTGCATGGAGGGGGACTTCCAGGTCAGGAAGGCCTCCCTGTCACTGATCCCTGAAGCTAATGCCTAAAATTCCATATTCGAGTCCTACATCTTTGGTGAAAGACTGTGGTTCCCAATAAATCAGAAAGACAACACAGACTACTGTCAAGATATGTGCAAAGGTTGTTGAAAAAACAAGGATCTTCAGATTTTCTTTGACTCCCTTTTATGTGCTCCATGGGGGCGAGGACCTTGTTGGTCCTGGTTTTCGTTCTATCCGTGGTGTCTAGCACAGAGTAGGAGCTACGTAAATATTTGCTTAAGGAAAAAATGGAAGGAATGTCTCCAGCTCAGGCTGTCTTCATTTGCAGGCAAGGAAACTGAGCACGGAGCAGAAATTTGCCCTGGGCCATGCAACTAGGAAGCAGAGGTGGGAGGGAGGTGAGTCTGACTCCTTTTCCAGTGCTCTCTCCACTCCAGTAAGTTATTAATATGACTCAGGACGGCTGGAATGGTGTGGTTGAGGGCCAGGATGACCAAACTGAGGTCACTGCCACAAGGCTGGGGAAGATGGCATTCGGGGGAATCCTACCCAAATGACAGTGAACTTAGAAGGAAGGAGAGGCAGAGACAGCTCGCCACTGCAGATGGCCCAGCAAGGTGCCCAGAGCAAAGATGTGCTCCTTCCTTAGCCTACTGTATTTGCCTAAATTTGTTTTTTAATAAAACTCAGAGAAATGCCCAATTCTGGAGTGACAAAGGCTGAGAGCTCCTAAGTCTGCTCAGGACCACAGACTTTACCTTCTGCAGTTGTGAATGCTAGATGGTGTGTGTGTTTTGTTTTGTTTTTTTTTCTCTTAATAATCAGACAATCGTTTACATCTGTCCCTTGGCAAGGAGCCATAAAGAAGAGCATCCAAACAAAGAGGAGAAAAGGCAGACTGGCAAGTGGGCTGGCTGGGAAAGAAAATCCAGATACTTCGCCTTCAGTCCCTATGGATGAAAGGATTTAAAGTTCACTGTGGGGGGAGAAGAAGGGAGGGGAGGCATCTTCAAGGAATCACAGTGGATACAAAAATGGTCATTCTGAAGTCAGTTTGCACTTCGTCTCACATTGCCTTGTTGCCTTTAGGGAGAAAAAAAAAAGAAAAAACCTCTCTAGAGTGAAAGGCTTCTGAGAGGTCAGGGTAGTTGTAGGAACAGCAAGAAGAGGCTCTGGGCTGGGAAGAAGCAGCAAGGGTAGCCACATCCGAGGTCCCCTGTCCCCACACCCCAAGAGAGACCAGATGGAGGAGCATACCCCACCTGGCTTGTGCTCCAAGTCCCAGAATAGACAGATTCTATTTTTATTCCAAGTCAACAGAATGACAAGCTCTGACTTTGACTCATTAAAGACCTTTCCAGAACTGGGGCCCAAGTTCACAAGCCTGCGCTGTGCTCTGTGCTTTGCTCAGCCTGGTCTTACCTGCTGGCTGAGAGAACAGAACCAGATATTTGATTATAGGTTTACATTAAGTGAGTATGCCCCCATTTATAGATTCAGGCATAGAATTAACAAATATTTGGAAAATATCTGCTTCTTTGGTCAAGATACTGAATGGAAAACACACACACACACACACACACACACACACACACACAGATTGACTTACATGTTCCAACAGCTGATAGGATTTCAATCTGAAAAACAAAACTCCATCATCTGAATAGGGTGAGACTAGCTAAGGTGTATTAATAAAGTAGAAGCAGTTTAGATTATTTCCATTCTTAAGCTTTTTCATTTAAAAAATTACTGATCTTGTGATTATTGAGGATGACATAAGAAAGCCTGAGGGGCTGGGGGTGGGGCGGGGAGTGTTTGTTTTGAATTCAGGTTGTACAGCACAGACATCCAAACCAACAAAACACCCACACACACTTTAGGGATGCAGGGGACATTTGTTTGATTTGCTTTGTTTTTGTTTAAAATCGTCCGTTTTAGCATAAAAGCATAGTCTAAATACACAATGAATAAGGATGCATTCCATAGTATGATAATGACAACATTGACCAAGAAAGAGTAAAGGATAAAGGAGACAAAAATATATATATATATTAAGGCAATCCCGACAGCGATTCAGATGGCAAGCCACGTAAATTAGTCAGTTTCCTTATCAGAGATTTACATGTTAAAACCCCTTGATATAACCCAGCAGGAAATTGAACAAGTGATTCTATGTCCAGACTTGGAAACAAAAATAACCACTCAGGGCCTACATGCATTAGTGTGTTCAAACTTGCACTGATAAAAGTCTTTTTGGCTGGAGCCACAGTGTGTGGTGATGAGAGGGGAGGATTCTGTTGGAGGATGATTGACATGGAAACAATCACAGATGCATCATACAGGAAAACAGGCTGGACAAAAGTTTCAGCTGATACGTGGTAGCCAGTGAGATGATGCAGAATGTGAGATGCTCCCTATGCCTTAGCATCATTCATGGGGGATAAAAAGGAACCTCGTTCCACTAGCTCTATATTCTGCCTCTTCACCCAGTTTATGGGAATCCCGCATCCCACACATACGTATTGCTCACACTCACACACAAAATATTTCACATTTTTTTAAAAAAAATTTATAACCATCCCAGTGTTTCTTGGTGTGTCCCCAGAAAAGCAGTTTTGACATTTCTGACTTGTAACCTTGGGGACTTGCAGACATTGAACCCTTCAGGCTAAGACCCCAAGGTCCTTCAGCAGCCCTCAGACGCCTGTCCAAACAGTCTCTCTGGTTTCCACGAGTTCCCTCGCATACCACATGCATGTTCTATTTATATGTTTTTGTCTTGAACAAGATTTGGCCCCATTGTGTGGGAGCAACACCAGAAAAGAAAAACAAAATCCATCCACGGAGAGAAAAATGGAGATTGTGGGAGCTTGGAGGAATTTACATATTTTGCTTGTTCCACTTTTCTGGTGATGTCAGAGTCAAAGAATATGCCTTTGGAAAAAAAAAATCACACACACACACACACACACACACACACACTCTTAAAAAAAATGCTGGGACTCACCAGCTCTGTCAAGTGAATTGTCATTAAAGGGAGAAATGTAAACAGCAGCTTGTCCGTCCCCACCACTCCCTTCCATTTCCCTCATCAGCCCCTAAAGAACCTAACAAATTAGTCCAGACTCCATTTGGATGGAATTAAGGGGCTGTCTGCAAAATGGGGGGGGGTGGTATTAATGGAGATGGGTGGAGAGGGAGGAGAGATGGAGGCGGGAAGGTGGTGCTTGAGGCTGGGTGACCGGCTCTGGCATTTTATGGAGGCCGAGTGAAGGGCTGCCTGACACTTTACAGATTGGGTGTAACGTTCAGGGAATTTGGCATTTCTGCCACAGGGCTCTGGCTGCCCTGCTAACCGCTTTCTTTCTCCCTGCTGGTAAAAGTGCAGGAGAAAAGGGTTAAATAAATGTTTGTGATATGATAAGGTGCTTGTTTATTCAAGGAATGACAGATTATTGGCTCTAAAGGCAGCCCTGAAAAATAGTACAAAGGAACTGGCTCTCCCCTCATGGATGATGTGATTTCCTCCCAAGATTCTGCTCTTTCCTAGGAACAATTTGCTCTGGGAATTAGAGAGGATGATTTCCCTGCAGTCAGAGACGGACAGCATTGGCGCGGAGGGTTGGAGGCCAGAGAGCCGGCTGGGAACTGGGCAGGGCTTGTCCTGGGGAATGCTTTTCCTCCGAGGACTGTTCCTCTCTGTCCTCATGCTGTCGCAGAGTCTCAGCAGAGCTGGGTTTCCAGCCCCCTGGGGTCCTGCTCATTATTCCAGGAAGGTCATGTGGCAGTCACTGTCTGCTACTCCTTAAAG